CATTGTGATCCGTCAGAAACAGAATTTTCTCTGCAAATTGAATTGCTCACGCTGATAGCATCCAAAACATTTTTCGACTCATCGGTAGTTCCTTTGTCTGGTTAGGAAAGCTTGGTGAATAAACCGCACAACTGTGGCAAGATAATAGCCATCGTGTACGAACTCACGAAAATCTGTTCGCCGATTGCATTGTATTATTGTGCCCAGTCAGGAGCTAGTATTCGCTTGACTGTTTGCAAATGGTCCGGTGAGAGTCGGTACCTAGGGGCTCTTCCGCCAGTGTTTGAAAACTTTCGCCGCGTCATTTATCCTGGCCCAACTGACTGCCCCTCGGTTCCCTGAGGATGATAAACAATAAAACAACAGACTTCTTCACTTTTCGCAGTACTTGTATCATTTTCGTCCAGCATGAAATCGCCTACAAAAATCCATTTGAACTCAGCAATTGATCATGCTCATATTACAAATGTCACCGCTTTCCCAAAAATTAGCTTTCCTCCAGGTAAAACGCATTTGTCAGGATTCTGGATTCGTTACACCTATGTCTTTTGGTGTTAAGCTTTCCTTGCCAGTCAGATGTTTCTGTCACTGTTACGGATCCCATGCAAAACTATCACCTGCCTTTATTTTTGCAACTGCGTTTGCTTGCTCAGAAGCCATACGTTGCATAATAAGTGTCGAGTTATGAAAGGTCGAATCATGACCCTTGGAACATGTCTGAAAATCTGCGTTTATGCATAGCCATTAAATAAGCTGTAATGTTTGGAGAGGTTATTTTTATTCACTCTTTTTCTCTGTTTGAATTCCCATGAATTTCATGACACCGCTCCCCAGTTAATTTTTCTTTTCAGGGAAGAGGGAGCCTGATTGCATGTTACTTCAATGCCTGGCTGACAAACCTTTCAACTGAATTAACCTTTAAAAGCTCTTTAAGTGACTTTTTGATACATTACTTGCTGAGTCCAAATTCGGGTTCCACACAAAATTCTTGTTACTTGAATCCTGTGCTCCAGCGCATTCAGCTGCGAAGTATTATTCGTTTTTCTTACCGCTAGATATAGGCCTGAGAGAGGTACAGTAATTTCCGGCGGTTAGGGCAGGACATTTTGATCAAATTCTGCACAAGTTTCTTAAAGGCAGGCAGAAATTATAGTCTGTTCAAGACCCTTCCTGACCATCAGGCAGGTAGCCTCAGCGAACGTATCAATTTAATTTACCCTAATCATTTTAGGCAATGAAACATCCAAACAAGAATCGAACGACGATGAAGACGACATCCCCCCAGCAGAAGGAATCGGGTAGCCCTGACAAAGCGTCCAAAGCAACACAGTACAAAGAATATATCTCAAAGTGAAATCAGAACATTTTAACTTTTCAAGAGAGAAATTTGAAAGAAAAAAGTGAGGCAAAAACAATAAACGGCACCTGTGTCAGCCAAGGCAACGAATTGGTATTGAACAAACCAGAAGGTGGCAGTTCAAAACCCAGGGCGTGCAAGTGCAAAGATGTTGCTGGCCAACAAAGCGAGAAACCAGAGAAGCCTGACACCAGCAGCCTCAAAATATCACTGACAACAAGGACGTCTATAACCATGACTTCACTGGAATTTGGGAGAATGATGCCTTGGACTACCTTCCAGACACGAGTCAAGTTGCTGAGGTACTAGAGTTAGCATTTAATTAAAAAGAAAGTATTTCATGAATTATTCAGTATGAGGGACAGTGATATCGCGCGAGGAAAGAGAAAAACAACTTGCCCCATCAAATGTTGTGTCCATAGCTATGGTCTATGACAGTATAGAGTGCCAAAACAAAACATACGAAAATTACATATACGTCAATCACATATACGTTTGTTTCCCATTGCCAGAGCCCAACAGCACGATACGAACAAAACCTTAAATTGACAAATGAGGTGGAGGAAAGCGAACGGACCGTGAAGAGTCAGAAAAGACAGATTGAGGCTTTGCAAAGTCAACTGGGAGAGATAAATGCACCAAAGCGTTTTACTTTGACAAACATTAAGGTTGGTACAAGTTTACTGAAATGGAAATGCACGTTTTCTTTCAAGTGAATTTCTATATTTTCTAGCCAGGATCATTATAAAGAAATATGATAAGGTGCCTACGGTTTTTTGGTCCTTATCCAAGAGGACCAAAAGTCTAACCATTATGTCAAAAAAATATAAAATACAAGCTTGAGCTTACAACAGGTATTCACGCTTACATCGATCATGTCTTCGTAAATATTAGGGAGTTTGAGATGCCACAACAACTGACAGCCACGAAAATGTCACATGAAAAAAGAATTCACATTTTTTTAGTCTCTATCGTGATTATTCCAACCCGCTTACTTTCCTAAAAGCAAGTGAACTCTTTTGGAGCTGAATTTCTATCAACCATATCCAAGTTCATTACGACAAAGAAAATTTGTCACTCATTGTGTTTACATCCTTCACAAAACGTGAAACTAGGCATTTTCACGTGGTAGTCCTGCAGTGACGACAAAGAAATGTACAACAAAGTGTGATGCACGGGCGAAGTTGTTGTTTTGCCTTGTCAAGCTATTGCTTTTTTTGATTTCTTGTCCGGCGGTGCCGCATCTTAAACTTCCTATTATTTAAAATACATTGTGATCCGTCAGAAACAGAATTTTCTCTGCAAATTGAATTGCTCACGCTGATAGCATCCAAAACATTTTTCGACTCATCGGTAGTTCCTTTGTCTGGTTAGGAAAGCTTGGTGAATAAACCGCACAACTGTGGCAAGATAATAGCCATCGTGTACGAACTCACGAAAATCTGTTCGCCGATTGCATTGTATTATTGTGCCCAGTCAGGAGCTAGTATTCGCTTGACTGTTTGCAAATGGTCCGGTGAGAGTCGGTACCTAGGGGCTCTTCCGCCAGTGTTTGAAAACTTTTGCCGCGTCATTTATCCTGGCCCAACTGACTGCCCCTCGGTTCCCTGAGGATGATAAACAATAAAACAACAGACTTCTTCACTTTTCGCAGTACTTGTATCATTTTCGTCCAGCATGAAATCGCCTACAAAAATCCATTTGAACTCAGCAATTGATCATGCTCATATTACAAATGTCACCGCTTTCCCAAAAATTAGCTTTCCTCCAGGTAAAACGCATTTGTCAGGATTCTGGATTCGTTACACCTATGTCTTTTGGTGTTAAGCTTTCCTTGCCAGTCAGATGTTTCTGTCACTGTTACGGATCCCATGCAAAACTATCACCTGCCTTTATTTTTGCAACTGCGTTTGCTTGCTCAGAAGCCATACGTTGCATAATAAGTGTCGAGTTATGAAAGGTCGAATCATGACCCTTGGAACATGTCTGAAAATCTGCGTTTATGCATAGCCATTAAATAAGCTGTAATGTTTGGAGAGGTTATTTTTATTCACTCTTTTTCTCTGTTTGAATTCCCATGAATTTCATGACACCGCTCCCCAGTTAATTTTTCTTTTCAGGGAAGAGGGAGCCTGATTGCATGTTACTTCAATGCCTGGCTGACAAACCTTTCAACTGAATTAACCTTTAAAAGCTCTTTAAGTGACTTTTTGATACATTACTTGCTGAGTCCAAATTCGGGTTCCACACAAAATTCTTGTTACTTGAATCCTGTGCTCCAGCGCATTCAGCTGCGAAGTATTATTCGTTTTTCTTACCGCTAGATATAGGCCTGAGAGAGGTACAGTAATTTCCGGCGGTTAGGGCAGGACATTTTGATCAAATTCTGCACAAGTTTCTTAAAGGCAGGCAGAAATTATAGTCTGTTCAAGACCCTTCCTGACCATCAGGCAGGTAGCCTCAGCGAACGTATCAATTTAATTTACCCTAATCATTTTAGGCAATGAAACATCCAAACAAGAATCGAACGACGATGAAGACGACATCCCCCCAGCAGAAGGAATCGGGTAGCCCTGACAAAGCGTCCAAAGCAACACAGTACAAAGAATATATCTCAAAGTGAAATCAGAACATTTTAACTTTTCAAGAGAGAAATTTGAAAGAAAAAAGTGAGGCAAAAACAATAAACGGCACCTGTGTCAGCCAAGGCAACGAATTGGTATTGAACAAACCAGAAGGTGGCAGTTCAAAACCCAGGGCGTGCAAGTGCAAAGATGTTGCTGGCCAACAAAGCGAGAAACCAGAGAAGCCTGACACCAGCAGCCTCAAAATATCACTGACAACAAGGACGTCTATAACCATGACTTCACTGGAATTTGGGAGAATGATGCCTTGGACTACCTTCCAGACACGAGTCAAGTTGCTGAGGTACTAGAGTTAGCATTTAATTAAAAAGAAAGTATTTCATGATTTATTTAGTATGAGGGACAGTGATATCGGGGCATGAAGCCCTCCCGCACATTTTCTGAAAAGAAAACTGTTATATTTGTGACAAAAGAAGTGTCCCTTATAATAATTATTACGCCTTCCACCCTACTGAACTGGGTCTGCCTTCTCCCTGGTACCCCCCAATTTGGTAAAAAAAAGGTTTTTCCCTTGTTTCTAGATATTATTCAAGTACTTTGTGATATTTACGTTTTGATTGTAGTTGTTCCATGTTCAAGTGGAATTGATCTAACTTATTTCCTGAATAATGAGATAAATTAACAAGACGTCTCACAGAAAAATTTGCTAGGTCTTTTTGCTGTTGTATATTTTAGGGAAGTACACTTCAAGTTCGGGCTATTCATGTCCCCAGATCCTTCGCATCTTCATGGAGTTATCATGTTAGGGACACCTTTCTTTGTTAGTACATCCAGCATGCATGAGCAGCATGTACATTCAGTACATGCAGCATGGATGAGCATTGATTTCCACCAATCGTCAGGAGGGTCAAGAAACTGCTGTTGAAAAGCACAACATCCAGCTGTCTTCATTTTCAGAGTACCTTCTCTTTTTATTGTTTTGTTTTTTATTTTTTTTTGTCTCTGATCTCGAGCGTGTGCCATGGAATGAAGTTGTCCTTGTTGAAGACGCGAGTGATATGGTTGATCGATTTAACAAGCGATATCTTGAGGTCCTAGATGTCCATGCGCCTGTTAAGTCAGTGAAAGTCAAGCATCGCCACTGTCTATTTGTCAATGAGGAAATCAAAGAGCTGATGCGAGATAGAGATAGATTATTGAAGCGTGCTTGTTGTACCGGGCTTCCTGTGGACTGGGAAGTGTACCGTGACTCCAGGCAAGTGGTTAAGATCAGGCTATGGAAGGCGGAACAAGAATACATAAATAAAGAGATGGAAGGATGTCAGAATACTAGTTCTCAGAGGAAATTGATAAGGAATTGTCTGCCGAGAAAGGAGGCTACGCAGCAAGTGTACACGAGAGAAGTTAAGGCGCTCGCAGAGGAGTTTAACGAGTTTTTTGTATGTTGGTGCTAAAGCATCAGAGGCATCTAAAGCCTTGATTGCTACTCATGAACTGTCTCCGCCAAACGATTTCACTAGTGGACAATATATTACGGATGAGGAGAAGTTTAATTTTTGCACTGTTTCAAGTCACGAGATTCGTAGAGCCATACTGTCATTTTCATCTAACAAAGCCCCGGGGTTTGATAAAGTCACCATGTCTGTGATTAAAGATGCGCTCCCTTGCATTCTGCCTGTGCTGACGGACATTGTGAATCGATCCTTATTGTCGTCAGTTTTTCCTGCAGCGTGGAAAATATCTGAAGTCATTCCACTTCTAAAAGATGGAGATCATGAGATACCAAAGAACAATCGACCAGTCTCGTCATCCACATCACCTGTCCACCTTGTGTGAATCATATCTTACAAAAGGAGAGGAAAGCAACAGATTACCTCTTAATGCCACTTCATCTCAACTATTGGAATTGAAGAAAACAACATAGTGACAGCCTGCTCTTGTCTTCCCTCAATTCCAGAGAGCGATTCTTCTTCAAATTGAATGCCATATTTCCTCAAACTGTCCTACCAATATGCACGCCTCGGTTAGCTCAGACCTGAGGAAGACTTGGTCACTTATTAAGCAGATCATTTGTAAAAAGAAGTAGTATAGCAACCGCTTGGGCATGAATAAATTAATATATAATGAGGTCGGTTATCTGGGTGCTGTAGAGGCAACCGCTTGGGCATGAATAAATGAATATGGAATGAGGTAGGTTATGGCGGGCGGTGTAGTGCGGTGTAGTGGGTATAAATTGTGAATAAATTCATATATAATGAGGTAGGTTGAAGATGAGTTGCAATACTGGTAAGACTGTAACTAATTAGGTTTGTAGTGATAAGAAAATAATGTTTATTTTATATCACAGTGGCACAATATGAGTCGGGTTCTGTTATGGAGAGTTCGGACGAGGAGGAGGGACAATTGTTCGTTCCTCGCAAGAAAGTTTCAAAAGTACAGGAAACTATATACAATAAAGACTGTAGAGAGTTTGTGGACGACATCGTCAGTGGAGAAGAATTGGGTAGTGACGAATTTTCCGTGTGTTTCATATTCTGTGTAGATTCCAGATTAGCTGCAGGCGAATTAGTTACTGCCATCAAAGACGGCAGTTTTGATCAAAAACTTGCTGTCGTTATTCGACATTTTGTAGATGAAATCGGTCTGCAAAGGCATTGTCCAAGTATTGAGTTTCAGTCATGTGTCAATCAGAGTGACCAAGAGAGATTATTTGCATATTTTGATGCAATTGGTAAGTGGGAGTGTAAACTAGTTTAAAATTCATTTTCATTCATTTTTCGCTTTTGCATTTTTGTGAATAGTCATGTTTAAAGTACAGTCAGTTAACGACACGTTCGTCGTAGGTTGTAAACCCTATTCTTTTTGTTTTAACAGTTATGTCGGTGAAGGTATCAAAAAACTGAATGATTTTTTGCAGAATCAAAGTCATCGTCCAACAGTGGAAGTAGCAAAAGAGTGGAAGCGCCGTCTGACAGGGGCTGACGGTAAGGATCATGAGAATCCATGTGTTTGCAAATTATTGGATATGGTGGGATTTGTCACGCATCGTCAATTTGGCGCCAGATCTTTATTGACTCATTTTTGTGTGATCAGAAGTGCTTTGAAACAGCGTCTCACAGAGGTATCTGGCTTGATAGATGAGTATATAGAGAGTGGTGGAAAGAGAGATTTTGCAGAAATCATAAAGCATGGTCTCAATGAAGACGGAAACAAGCGAGTCCAGCATGTATAATCAGATGGCAAAGCAGTTTCGACAGAACAGATCGTCTACAAACTGGTGAAATTGTTCACATCCACCGAGCTCATCAATTTGGATCCTGTATCTGGAGTGTGGTTTGGTTTTTTGTTCAAAGATCCTGTTCTTGAAGATGCCAAACAAGAAGAAGTTGAGGAAGGAGAAGCTACTTGTCGAGAAAGTTGCAGTGACAGAGAAAGCAAAGAAAGTGGTTGCAGCGGGGACAGTTTCCAAGGTTCCGTCATATAATCAGCGTTATCATGTGAAACACGTCTTGGATTGTGTGGATTTGGATCGTGCAGTCCTGAGTAAAACTGATTGTAAATTCACCAAGGAAAATTTTGAACGTTGCAAATTGGGACAATATGTCGATAAGATAGATCCTGATAGAGAAGGTGTTAATGTTTACGTAGAACCCCTTACAAAATGAATTCCCAGCTTTCGGGGAATTCCCCATTCCCAACTATGCAAATCAGCCTTCATCAAATAAGCTTGGAATTCTTGAGAATTTTTGGGAATGGCAAATTAGGTCTCACTCTAGGCTTGGAATTCCTAGGAATTCCTAGTTTTACAATTTTAGAAGCTTAAGAATTGTTGAGAATTTCTGGGAATAGAAAAATTCAGGCCAACTGGGCTTGGAATTCCTGGGAATTCCTAGGAATTCTAAGTTATGCAAATTAGGAATTCAGCTCAGGGCTGTTTAAAAATCAGAAAGACTTATTTTTTTTACATTTTAATTTTAAGTGATTGCACTGAAACAATTCTAAACTTATAATACAGAACATAACGGTAATGTATACTTCTATACTTACATTTTTATATTCAACCCAATTTTTTTTACCTAATCTGGTAATGCTGACATGTGGCGAATGCTGTTCACAAACCTCCAACCAGTATTTAGTTAAGATAACAATTTAACTTATCTAAATTACATTATGTCCAGTACACTTTCAGTGCAAAATGTTGTCTGAAATGAGAAGTCTCGTTTTTGAAAATATGACGTACATATCCAGTCTGAAATGTACGTTTTTTATCCACATATTCCACGGAAATTAGGCACACGCACAAGACATGGGCTGTCTTGATTCTCTTCAACCCTTGCATCAGGAGTGCAGTCAAAAGCATGGCAAGCCCAGCCAAGCCCGGAACAACAGCCAGAACACGTTTTTCGTCACAGTTCTTTGATTGATAATGTGGTCCAACATTTTCTTTCCCAACTTAAAAGAACAACGTTAAGTTTACCTCTTGCTTTTAACACTTCAAATGCATTGCTTCATCTTAATTAACGTTGAAAATAACTGCTATTTCGACGCAAACAGGGGCGCGTCACAAGATTAGCCGCCATGTTTTCTTGTTTCCCAGGCTTCCACGCGTGCCTTTGGCACATGCACAATTTGATTTACTTTGTCACGTGTGACTTTTGAAGCAATAGAAAAGTGCCGAATGAACTTCCGTTGAATAGTTCACATTCACGCGGACTTCACAAGCAACAAAGTATTTTCGTAAGACTGTCTTTCTATTATCCACGTTATTTTCGAGACAAATTGATCAATTGCGAAGTTTTTCTTCACATAAAGCATGTTTGCAAGTGAGTTTACTCAGCTGGATTAATGTGGAAAGGTATGTTTTCTAATAACTTTGCGTAAATAAGCTTATAAAGTTCAAAGATGCATGCAAAGATATGCCATTGATCAGATCCCTTTTTGCTGCTTTTTGTTTACTGCAGATCGAAATAACTGTACTCTTTGTCGCAAATAGTCAATGGAATACTCTGAAAACTGTATCTTCTGGCGCCACAAGGTTATAGCAGACTTGTCAAGACCAATGTTAGATAAAATAGGAGAAGAAATGGCATAATAGGTATAAGTTTCCAATGGCTACTTATACAAGTTAGAAGCAATGTAATTTCCAGTTAATTTATAAGGACTTGAGGCTTGAACTTACATATAAAATATTAGAATACAGCCGGTAGGTTTGTTCATTTGAACTCTAATTCATAGTATAAGTTGCTTAAGGTTTTACATTCAATGCTTCTGGTACATGCAATAATAATAGGTGCAATAGTTAGGTCAAAAACAACTAGCACTAGCACTTGCCTGATGTGTGGACCTTCAGTTCAGAAGGCTGCATCGGCGACATTGGAAAAAGCAGTCACTTAGCTTTTTTTCATATTCATGCACTGTATTAATTATTCGAAGATGTTTATGCATATATGTGGAATGTGGTGATGTGTATGTTGAGTAAAATAAATTACGAAAAAAAGAATATTCAGCTGATGTTGTCATTTGGATTAAAAACAAACAGCATCTATAGATTCCACCAACAGGGTATGTTTTTATATTTTTTTTCAATCATAACTAGGTATATGTTACTTTACATTATCTCACTATCTAGAGATTCCACCTGAACAGGTTATGTTTTACATTTTTTTTTTCAATCATGACCATAGCGATAGTTTACTTTACACTACATGTATATCTATGTGTTGTCTAAACATGTAGGTAGGGATGTCACTAAGATTTCAAGTTGGCAGATATTAGTACAACAAGTAGGCAGGGAATCAAACAGCTACGGATTTCTTTTTGGTTCTATTTTTCTTCCATTTTTTTTCCATTTTTTCTTCCACGTTGATAATAGCCAAGGGAACCCCCCGGCTCTTGACGCTAGGTTTCATACACGTGGTTATTGCTCATACAGATCAGTTTCATGTGATTTTAAGGACAATTTCATGGCGTTAGTGTTGTTTCCCTTACCCCCATGAAAGGGGTGAGGGATTAATTTTCATGAGCCATCAAAGGTCATAGTCAATGAAAATTTTCACTTCAAGTCATCAGTACTCCTTTTTATGACATGGTCTTCATAGGTAACATTCTGCTGAGAGAATTAATGCCTGCCAAATATAGAAAATGTATTAACTTTTTCCTTCAAAAAATCTGAAGTACAACCGCAATTATTTAAATAGTTATATTGTATTAGAATTTTCCTGCTTTGAACATATAGGTACAGGGGTTTCAAATTTTTTTGAAGTTATAGGCAGCCGACTCTGGAAAAGTAAGCGGCTGTGACAATATTCAGGAGCTGCAAGTTGTGAACTACACAATATCATAGTAAGGATAAACTATTATTGTTGGTCACTCTAAGGGGTTGAAGGGCTAGGATTACCGGTGTTTAACCGACTATGTTGGATTTCTGCATACTGTTTCCATGTACAAGTATCAACAACCTGTTTCTTTGGAGAACTCTATGATCTGAGTGAATAGTAAATCCTTCTTTTGCATATCATACCATGTAAGTGTATCCTAAGTATTTAAGGAGGTGTACGGGAAATCAACACTTATGTAGCAATAGAATGGGCAAGGGACAGCAGAGTAATAGCCAATACTATTGCTTTCAGGTGGAACACTATATGTGCGGCCTGTCGTGATGCTAATTAGGATGTTTATGCCACTAATAACATTTTTCAAATCTAACATTGATTTTTTGGGAGAGATAACTGCAACTACACACCTTTTCTTCTCTTTGTGAGAGATAAATATAAGCTTATTCTTATTGGTACCTGTCTACAAACATTTCCTGTGCCATGTGTCAAATCCATAATAGTCCCGTTCTTATCCTCAAAGCCAAATGTGGACCATGCTCACAGAGGTCCCCATCCTACATTTGTAAATTAGTAATGAGGGCTTAACACTATTTTTCTAGTGATGAAATTTTATGAAAATTTAAGTGCAAATTTTATTGTTTATAGCTCAGGAAGATATTAAAATGTCACAACAAGTTAAATAAATTAAAGTGGCTATTTCTGAAAATTTGATTAATGGTATTGACCTTTAATTTCTGGTCAGATTATTAGAAGATTTTAATGTAATGAATTATTTTGTGATTGTAAAAACAGTTGACAACTTCTAGAAAATAATGATTCTTGCAGAAATTGTCTCATTGCACTTAAAAATTTAGTACATGTATTTAAGTGTATGTATTTGCTGTTATTTATTTTATTTTGAATTGGTTGTTGCTTATTTAATGTCAAAGATTATAATTTATGATACATTCAATTAAAAATAATATACTTATCATTATAGGGAAAATTGGTCAATTTATTTACAGCAAAATAATTATTTATTTTTCAAGAAAGTTTATTCATATGTATATAAGGACTACAGTCATTATACTGAATTATTTGATTCCTACTTCACAAAAAGTCATTGTCTTAAATTTGATTTTTGAGGTCACTGTTGTAATTTTTGGAACATTTAAACGATCAGTGCAGTGAAATTTTTAGGAAAATCCTAGGAATTCCTAGGAATTCTCAATTCCATTTCGCAAGGGATGTGAAAGCTGAACATCAAAAAAGTGGCAATGCGTTTGTTGTTGATGTTAATTATTTTAGAAAAAAACCTTTGAAGGGGGAGTGTTCCATATGTTTTTGTAAGGGATACTAAGCAGTTGGCTCCAGTACTTCCCCACCCTTTTTTAGTGAGTGAATATGTGAAAATTTACAAAATGAAAGATGAGGTTGCAGCCGTTAAAGAGCTTGCAAAAATTCAAGAATTTTACTGTTTTCATTATGCTGCAGCAGTGTGTAATCGTGTAGAGGACGAGTTTATTGGGGTTGGGAAGATGTTGATGAAGATTGGCGTGCAATCATTAGGGAGGCTTTCTTTAGATATATGGCTCATCGATTGCACAAGATTCCTGCTCACATGAATCGAGAAGATTATGACCGGTTGAAAGAGACTGCAATGTCGGCTATGAATTCTGGAGAGAGAAAGTTTTTAGGCCTTTCTTTCATTTTCGATAAGGATTGCATGTTCGATTTGTTTTGTAATTTTATTTTGGGTGGTTTTATGTGTAAAAAACCACTTCAGAACTATATTTTTCTTTTCATGAATCTCTTAGGTACGTACAATCTTTATCCATTTTTCAAGTTACTCATTTATCCAGCCTCAACATCTTGGATAGTTACAAAAGGCATTTTAAAGGATGTTGAAATTCAGGAAATGACCATTCCTGCAATCATTGTTGATTGTGCTTATCTTAACCAATGTTTCACTTGTCGATCAACCGCAAGATTTCATTAAAAGTATTTTACACGTGCGTGTAAGGCCCATACCACTACAGATTTTGCTCTGTTTCTGAAAGAAGAGCTTCTGTATCCAATGTATTGTCGTCATTCTTTTGCCAAGAGAATAGAAGCTGTGTTTTTACAAAACAAAGAATCTTGGCAAGATGCATTTCTGCAAAAGGTTCTTGCTGATATGAAAGAGGGACAAGGAGATTTCGCCGTGCTCGATTTGAGTACTGTGGGGGAACAGTTTTCTAAGTTTTTGTCAAATAATTTAGTTTGTGATTGTGATCATGAAGAAGACGAAGCACGTGTATCTGACTTAGATTAAGTTATCTGATTTATTGAGATAAACCACTTGTGGATTTTGTACATTTTTTAAATGTTTCATTAAAGATCGATCGTTCATCATAAATTTGCAGTTGGTGTCTACTATTTTGGGGTTTGTCCTTTTTGGGTACGGTCTCGTAGATGGTTTGAATGACCGAAGGTTCAAAGAATGGACCTTCCAAGTTTACCGTCATTCCCTGGGCTACAAAAATCACAAGAACAATTCAAATTTTGACCTGACCTGACCTGCACCTCAACCATTTATCCGTATCGACTTCGAAAACGGTAACCAACAGATCATCCTCGAACCTACGTGTTATCTTTACACAGCAACAAAGAAAAAAACTTTTTCAAAACATTCGCAGCACAAGACATTTAAAAAATGTGTACATTAGCTTGAAATTCGTGCAAACAACCTTAGATGTTCCCTTACAAAACCCTCTCCACACATTCGCAACACAAGACAGTTTTAAAAATTTTTATGCACATAAGTTACCTTGGAATTCACAAACAACCTGTCATGTTCCCTGACATATCTTTTCACCTCGGCCGCAGCAACAAATGACTCGTATGTCTGCACAAAATCGTGGAATGCTCACATCAAAGGCATCGTCTCTTTAGCTTCTTTGATCGTAACCATGCTAATGTGATACAACAGTCCACATTTCACAAACTGTTTGTATCCGGCTATATTAAACCTTGGAGAGTCCATCGTCTTTCTCATGACAAACAAATCTGAATCAACATAACTGGACAAAAGACATTTCGAGTCTCGCGTCACGCAATCGCACGCGTGAGTTTTTAGTGATCAGATTTCATTTTTTTGATTGACAGTTACTCTGATTTTGTAATTGACACGCGGTCGGGTTTTTGTAGTTGTCATGAGTTGTTATCAGAACATGTAAGTTTTAGGAGCCGTAAAATTAAAACCGTGAGTTTATTTAACCGACGAGATATCGTTTGTTGTCTTCGCAACATTTTTTGGCGACCACGACGGGAGAAACCGAGAGACCGTTTTGAAGAGTTACCGGGAGATTCATTCACCGTACGCAAGCACTGTGGTAAGCTTGAATTTTTGATTTGTGATTTCGCGCTCAAGATGAATGCCGATGCAGAAGAAACTGGCGGTGAAAATGGTCCGGGAACCGAACAGATCGAAAACAAGGACGATGAAGAGAAACTGGAAAGAGAGAAAGTGTTATTGGATCTGAAAAAACAAAAGAGACTACGAAAAACCGAGATGACAAAAATTCGCCATCACATGGAGAAGCTTTGCATCACGCCAAGGATTCGCCAAGGACGTGGCGCTATTGAGAAAGATATTGAGCAACTTTGGTCGCTTCTGGAAAGCACACTGGAAATACTGGATGAACTGTGTGTTGTTTATTTGAAAAATGGAGAGGAAGCAAATAAATAGGCGTCTATGGAAGAAGGAGGAAAACGCTGGAATCGGAAATTCAAACCGCAATTGAAAAGGCACACGAGGCCGTGAAATCACACGCTCAAATTTCTGTCGCGACTGCTTCGCACAGTGAATTTGTCGCTCATTCAAGTCCGCCGATCGTTTTGCAGGGTTCGCTCAACCCAGTTTTGCCTCCAACGCCTTCCCAAAATTCGCACAGCAGTCAAGGAGAAATAAACGTTCCTGAAAGCCCGCAAATCAGTCATTCCGCGAATCATCGCCTGAAGCCATTGAAAGTACCGGCGTATGGTGGAGACAAGACGAAATTTGAGGAGTTTTGGGGCTTGTTTGAAAGTCTGGTGGACCAGTCCAAAGAATCAGTCAACCTAAAAATGGCAAGATTGAGGCAGAGCTTGTCCGCAGCGCCGCTGGAAGCGATTCGAGGGCTTGGGGTGTCAGAACCAGAATATGAAGAGGCAAAGGAAATCTTGATAGCCAAGTTCGGCAGTCAGCGGCGGCAACTGCAGGCCTACATGGACCAGCTGGAAAAAATGCCCAAAATGGGAAACAACGACATTCAAGGATTTGAAAAGTTTGCAGATTTAATACGTACACTGTGGTTAAGCTTTAGGCCGAGGGGCGCGATGGAGAGCTTGGAGAAGGAACACTTCATAGCCTGTTAGTGAAGAAGCTCGCTGAAGTTCAAGTACAAAGGGTACAGCCGTTGGCTACAGAAACAGAGCCGGGAGCGATCTGTTGTAAGTTTGAGAGATTGGCTTAAGGAAGAAGTACACATCCGCGTTGAAGCTAAGGAGATGGCGCATGGCTTATCGGTTACAGAGAAAATCTGATGGATGGCAACATTCAAATCGAAATCCAAACAATCGAAACAGGCCCAGAAATTTTCACGTCAGATCAGATTTCGCCAGGAGACCACCAGGCTCAGGCCAGCCTACCCGAAAACCGCCGTGTCCGTGCTGTGGTTCCCCGAATCATGGAGTATGGGCCTGCTTGGTTTTCCAACAGAAAAGTTACGATGACAAATGGACACTGGCTAAAGAAAAACGATTGTGTTTCCGGTGTTTAGGTGATGATCACCAGGAAAGTTCTGTACGAAGTCACAAACCTGCCAAATCAACGGTTGCCGGGAAATCACCACCGTCTCTTGCATGAGAATCCGCCTGCCACGAACCCACCCATGGGGACTGCTCAACCAGTGATCAGCTCTAACAGCTACCCGTCATTTACTCCATGGGAGGGGCAGTCGGCCCGTTTTATCACCCGAGGGTGAGGACAGTCGTGCCTCGCGAGACGATGACTACTCACAACCCGAGAAGCCCAAAAGAAGCTACTCACTGCGCACCGTTCCGTGTGGGTGAAGGCACAAGGAAAAAAAGCTTAAAGTGAATGCAATCCTAGATGATGCCTCAAACGAGACATTCTTGAACGAAGAAGTGGCCGGAGCCCTTGGACTAAAGGAGTCTTATCAAACCGTGAAAGTTCATGTATTGAACAATTCTGTAGAGACGTTTCAGACTATGCCGTTAAAAGTAGAGATCGAAAGTGTTAATGGTCAGTTTACAAAGGAAATTGAAGTTAAGACCTGTCCCCGCAATGTCACTGGAAATTACCAAGTGGAGAATTGGAATGCGAATAAAGGCAAGTGGCCTCACCTTGCACAGTGCGACTTCGCGTCACCAGCAAAAGACGGCTTGGTAGATTTGTTGATCGGTGTTGATAATGCTGACTTGCATTACTCGCTTGCTGATGTACGTGGAAAGGTGGGTGAACCGTGGCGGCGCTTTGGGTCCGCTTGGGTGGACTTGTATCGGACCTCCAGATGGTAGAGCGGAGACTGGAACAAGAACGCATACAATTCGAACACTGTTTACAAGGGATGTAGGGCGGTTAGTGTAGCAGGTGGTTGTTGTGATTTAGATGGAACGCTTAGGAGGTTTTGGGAGATCGAGAGTTATGGAACTGAGCTAAATGACCGAGTCGTGTGTACTGCAGAAGAGAGATTGGCCTTAGAAAGGGTTAGCAGCTCAGTCTGCTACAACGGTGAGAGATACAGTGTTGCTGTGCCGTGGAAAGGACAGAGGCCTCAACTTCCCGATAATCGTCAGATGGCAGAATCCCGTCTTCTCAGCACAGAGAAAAACCTAAAAAAGAGAGAATTTGTTGAGAGAGAGTATAAGAAGACCATCGAGATTTATGTGGAGAAGGGGTACCTGCGTAAAGTCCCAGAAAATGAAGCACCCCCCCCTGAAGATTGGTACCTACCACACTTTCCGATTGTTAGGATGAGCAAGTCTACAACCAAAGTAAGGATAGTCTTTGACTGTTCCGCCAAATACAAAGGAATCGCTCTTAATGATGTCATTCATGCTGGGCCGAAACTTCAGAGAGAACTCTTTGATGTTCTGATCCGCTTCCGCCAGTAACCGGTTGCCCTTGTCTGTGACATTCAAGAGATGTACCTCAAACAGAAATTGAGTCTGAAGACCGACCGTTGTTTCAATCCTGTGGCGAGACGGAGAAACAGGCCGCAACCCAGATGTGTATGAATTCTCTAGAGTTGTTTTCGGAAGAACTCAGCTCCCTTGAAGCCCAATTCATCACTCAGGAGAATGCCAGGCGGCACCAAACCGAGTTCCCATTAGCTGCAGAAACTGTCCTTCAGTCCACCTACATGGATGATTCGTTAGACAGTGTTGAGGAGGACGAGAAAGGAGTCGACCTGTATCACCAGCTTAATGCATTGTGGGCAAAAGCAGGCATGCACGCCCGAAAATGGGTGTCGAATTCAGCAACGGTGATGGCAGCCATACCGAGGAGGACCGAGCCACAGAAGTGGACATAAAAGACAGTAAGGATACAGTAACGACAACGCTTGGCTTACAGTGGAACAGCACCGATGATTTATTGGCCGTGCCTGCAACACCCGTGACCGAGGGCTACCCAATTACTAAGAGGAGTGTTTTGAAGAAAATTGCAACTGTTTTTGATCCGCTTGGCCTGATAAGCCCTTTCGTCGTACAAGCGAAGATTATGCTCCAAGAACTGTGGAACCGTGGCTATGACTGGGATGAGGAGGTTCAGGACGGCGGTGGCTAATCGTCTTCAGGTCTGGTTCTCACAGCTGTCATGCCTAGAAAAGGTCAAGATTCCACGGTGTCTGCAAAACCAGCAACCAGTCAAGTCGAAGGAGGTGGTGACCTTTGTTGATGCCTCAACACAGGCCTATGGAGCTGCCTCCTACTTACGCTGTAGTATGAAGATGGTACCGTGTCCGCACAGCTGATAGCTTCTAAGAGTAAGGTTGCCCCGCTTACCCCCATGACCGTGCCAAGGCTGGAATTAATGGGAGCCATAGTGGGTTTAAGGTTAACCCAGTCCGTGTCCAGAGTCCTGGAACTACCCGTGAAAGCAGCGTCGTTATTTTCCGACAGTACAGACGTGCTATGGTGGATTCGTGGAAGAGGCCGAGACTTTCGACCCTTTGTGGCAAACCGTATTGGAGAGATACAGATTAGTACTGAACCGGTACAGTGGCAACATGTCTCCACCGACAAAAATCCTGCAGACCTGTGTTCCCGAGGAACGAGCCCAGCTGAGCTTGCTAAATCCGAACTATGGTGGAATGGCCCGGAATGGCTGATGAAGGAGAAAAAAGTGAGTGGCCTAAGATGGAGTTAGCGAAAGCCGAAAGTGATGCCGAAATGAAGTCGACAACAAAACAGCAACAGGGTTCTACCACCCTTGTGACAGTGCAAGAAAACCAAGCTCAGAGGGACAAGCCAAGTCAGGGTGGCAGTGTTCCAGTCTGGAGATTGAACCCAAACGCTTCTCAAGTTGGAGCCGACTGGTGAACCTACATGCTAGAGTAAGGAGGGCGCTCCACAACATGTCGAAGAGGGGTCCGCGACAGACCAGCAAAGCATTGTCACCGTGTGAAATAAGAGAAGCTGAGGCAGAGGTGGTGCAATCCTGTCAGCGCCAAGCATTCCCTGACGAATACAAAGCTCTAGTGACCGGGAGACCAATACTGACCAAGAGCCGACTAATGAAGTTGAATCCTGTGTTAGATGAAGAAGGCTGTATCCGTTCAAATGGAAGACTCCAGTTCGCAGAGTACCTGCCTTTACGATGTGCGATTTCCAATGATACTGCCTCGAGGACATTGTGTCCACGAAGCTCATTGTCAAGCATTATCATGAACAGGCTAACCATACAGCAGGAACCAACTTTGTCTTGTCCCAAATCAACCAGAAGTTTTGGATCATTGCAGCCGGGAAGAGATCCGAGAGTGGGAGCGAGAGTGCAACATGTGCAAACGAATGCAGAGCAAGACCGCTACACAGATCATGGCACCGATTCCAGGGATCCGTCTTCGCTTTACCTTCCGTCCCTTTGACCAAACAGCCGTTGACTATGCTGGCCCCTTTACAACCGTACAAGGACGAGGTGTGCGCCGACAGAAGAGGTGGCTGTGTTTGTTTACTTGTCTGTCAACCCGTGCGGTCCATTTGGAGGTGGCTTTTGGTTTGGACACCGACAGTTTTCTGAATGCCTTTACACGCTTTACAAGCAGACGGGGGCGCCAAAGGAAATGATAAGCGACTGTGGGACCAATTTTGTTGGAGCCGTCAACGAACTAAAAGAACTGATCAGTAAGCTGGACCAGGACAAGATTCAGCAAAGCACAGCCAATCGAGGTGTAACATGGAGATTCAACCCCCCCGGGGCACCACACTTTGGTGGCATTCACGAGTCCATGATAAAGTCGGCCAAGAAAGCTATTTACGGAGTAATCGGAACGAGTGACGTAACTGATGAAGAGTTAATTACCGCAGTGACTGGAGTGGAAGGACTGCTCAATGCACGACCGCTCACCTACCAGTCAGCCAACCCCCAGGACATTGTACCGCTGACTCCAAACCACTTCTTACACGGACAGTTGGGCGGTCAATTCGCACCTGAAACCGTTGATACCACCGAGTTCAGTCCACGAAAACGTTGGCGAAAGGTCCAGGAGATAATTTCCCAAGTCTGGAGGAGGTGGCTACAAGAGTACCTTCCTTTGTTAAGCAGAAGGCCAAAGTGGACCGAAGTGGTCAAGGATCTGAAGGTGGATGATGTTGTTCTCGTCCTGGATTCTAAACTGCCAAGAGGACGATGGCCTCGAGGACGCATCATCGAAACTTATACAGGAAGGGATGGCCACATCAGAGTCGCTAAGATCCAATGTGGCGCAAGCACCATCGTTAGACCAATTCATAAACTGGTGCCCTTGCACGAAAGTTAGAACACTGAACATTTCTCGTTGTTATAGTTTTCTGTTTCAATCTTTTATCGAACAATCACACTGATCCTTACCTCCCAGTGTGGGGAGGGGGAAATGGACAAAAGACATTTCGAGTCTCGCGTCACGCAATTGCACGCGTGAGTTTTTAGTGATCAGATTTCATTTTTTTGATTGACAGTTACTCTGATTTTGTAATTGACACGCGGTCGGGTTTTTGTAGTTGTCATGAGTTGTTATCAGAACATGTAAGTTTTAGGAGCCGTAAAATTAAAACCGTGAGTTTATTTAACCGACGAGATATCGTTTGTTGTCTTCGCAACAATAACATTGCAATACATCGGGATGTACAATCCAATGATTAAACTCGCACAAATCTCTACATTCTATCCACACATCATGGCCATAATAGTTCAATACCTTCCCTTCCAAATTTTTATCTAAACCAGAAAATTTTCTATCCAACTTCAAAATAAACCTTTGAATGTTTAGATGCGATAAATCATTCCCATCAACAAATCGACAATGCAAATTGGCTTGACCATTGTCTCCCATAATTACACAACTCGCAAAATTACCTTCCTGTAATGAAATATCTTGCAAGCAACACACAAAATTATAAAGCAAACACCATCAGCATGACAAAGACATATCGCGTAACACGACAAATAAACTAAAAGTTTTCCAGCCGATTTACTCCACACACCCATTTACACCACATGGTAAAGCTGACTCCACAAACCATGACAACGAAATACGACTGGGTATGTCTCATTTACGAAATTCGATGGAAATGTGAAGAGGAAAAATATTTCAATGAAAACTACAATCAAGACTTGATGAAAAACTTGTCAGACTGGTTGTGCGATTTAACATTGACCAACATCAACGGTGACGACGTAACAACAGTGGAGCACGGATAGTACATATTCCACAGAACGCCCGGTCATATCGTCATATTTTTGGATCTCTTTTCCGAAGATTTGTCAAAGAGGATACAATACCCTTTTAAGGAGCCGGAAAACTCGGAAAACTGGAAAAACAGACTGTTACGACATGCAAACTGTAAGGAAACAAGGATAAATATGTACGATGAACTAGTTATAGAGACAGGAACTGGAGACGCAAGGATTGTACTCAAAGACACATGTAAAGACCCACTAACTCTTGCAAAAAACTGTTTTTAACATTGTAAAACACAATGATACAAGATTCGATTCGATTAATTCGTAACTTTATTTACATTAAACATGGATTGCAGAATGACGGCTGTTCAGGGCTTTTTTTATCAATTAGTTAACAAGCCAATTATAAAATAACGAACAAGGACCAATGTCGACACAGTGACGTCAACACACCGCTATAACCTCATTATATATGAATTTATTCACAATTTATACCCACTACACTGCCCGCCATAACCTACCTCATTCTATATTCATTTATTCATGCCCAAGCGGTTGCCTCTACAGCACCCAGATAACCAGCCTCATTATATATTCATTTATTCCTGCCCAAGCGGTTGCTATACTACTACAGAAA